TTTTTCCCCCCCCCCCCCATTCCACATACATCTATTAATTTTTCTTTGACGATCCTGTAATTTTTTTTAATCTGAGATTAGAACTGGTGCCCTTTGAAATAAGTTTATCTTGGGCCATTCATTCCTTTTTTTACTGTAACCATAAATCCCAGCGCAGAAAGCTTTAATCTTTTCCACGCCTTTTGCAATCTTGTTTTATTTCTTCCTGCAATTTGTCATAATTGTTTTGAAATAGGTCTTGGTGGCTGCTAATTGTGATGGCTGGAGAATGCCTCCAGGAATCGAGGCAGTCTATCCTCCTGGGCTTGTGTTTGGGGGAGAGGAACCGGGTAAATCTTTCTTGTGGGTTTGCCAAAGCCCTCTCGCTGGGGCAAAATGCTGGACTTTTCATCTTTTCATCTGACCTCCATAAGCATTTTATGATCATGTCTCGCTGGGGCAAAATGCTGGACTTTTCATCTTTTCATCTGACCTCCATAAGCATTTTATGATCATGTCTCGCTGGGGCAAAATGCTGGACTTTTCATCTTTTCATCTGACCTCCATAAGCATTTTATGATCATGTTTTGAAAACAAGGAGTCATAAAACCATTGAAACTCTCCCCTGCTATTTCAGAGATGTCTAAGGAAGGACACAGGTTACTTAAATATCCGATACTTGCCGATGGAAAAACCCAGAGCCAAACCTCGCCCTCCTTCGCCCCGGGTTCAGATGGGGTAAGATCCTTTTTCTCTCCTCCCTTCCCCCCCCCCAGCAGTGGAAAGATTAATTGGAGGTACACTTGAAGGAAATAATTAAATGAAAAGACACATGTGATGTTCCTGGGAACTGGCGAACAAGCCCTCTGCGCGCGTCTGCGGTCCCTAAATGAATTTGCCACGGTAGAACGAAACCATTGCTACGTCTTCTCCCGTTTTCTGCAAGTCAGCCCAAATTGCTTTTCCAGCCCTGTCGGCCAGGATTCTGTTAGGGACAAGCTTAAACCCCATTGCTTACGTGCATGCAAAGCTTTTAAACTATATTGGGGACCGGTGCCCCGGGAGATGTTCCTTTTGGGCAAAGGGCCACGGCTAGCCGTTGGTGCACTGACGGTCCAGATTGGCCTCAACGTGTTCAGCTGACGAGGCTGACCGCCCAATGTAAGCCTCGGATATGGTGGATTAGGAAACGCTCGGACCTTGCTTCATTTCTGATCGGGCCGATGGCTGATGCTTCTCTCTCTTTCGTTCCCCAGAGTTGCCGATGAGGAAACGAGCTCCTTGTATGAAAATCTCAGTGTCAAAGCCACTAAGGTCCCAGGAATCAATAACTCAGGAAGATAGTTGCTATAGGACAGGATGGAGACAGGTGGCTATAAAATAGGTAGGCATGTGTCCACGTGTGCTAATTTTTGTTCGGATATTACAGACCGGTGGATCACGTAACCAAACACTCCATCCTAGAATCCTTCTTTCCAGAATCCCATCCGGTCCACCGAGCCCTTTGGAAGACTCTCCGTTCGCCCAGCCAACCCTCGATACCCACCTTCGTTATTTTTCTTTTAGACTGAAAAGTCTCTGCGCCACTGTGGGGCGGGAGGAGCGAAGGAGAAAGACCGGCTCGCCGTTGCTGTGTACTTTTATGCGCGTGATCAAACCCAGGCGAGCTTCCGAGGGGTTGGTTTTTAAAAATGGCATGTTCTGCAAGGACACCGATTTTGTTTCCTTCTCAAGGTTTCTTGTTACCTCCTCCAGGTTCGATACTGTCCCACCTTGATTTTCCATCCTGAATGCACCTTAGACTCTAAGTAAGGAAACTCTGTCCCATTAGATCAAACATTGGTCTAACTCACTGGTTTTCAACCTTGGCCACTTTAAGATGGGTGGACTTCAACTCCCAGAATTCCCCAGCCAGCATGCATGGACTTCAACTCCCAGA